GATAGAACGTCACAGTCGGCGCTGCGACCGGGGGACGACGTCACACACACACACACACACACACACACACACATATATATATATATATATATATATATATATATATATAAGAAAGTGGATATTGAAATTCATACTCAGAGGCGACAGGAGATGGAAGATACTGACGACTCTAGGTTTTGATTTCAATGTCCACTTTTATATTTATATACGCTCTATCTATGATATTGAGTACATCAACCCATAAATCTAGCATACGTTAAAACTATACTTTATCATATACTATACATAAATATCATACTTTATATATTATATATATATATATATATATATATATATATATATATATATATATATATATATATATTTAAACACAAATCATTTATTAAGTACGCGTAACAAGTTTTGGATTAATTTAAAATTAATTTTTTTTAATTTGAGTAGTTATTATACAGAAAAGAGTTCACTGAGAGTATTCACATATGTCAATATATATATATATATATATATATATATATATATATATATATATATATAAGTGAGACTGTGTGAGAGAAGATATATATATGTCTGTGTGTGTTTGTGCATATATATGAATGCAAGAATATACAGCCAAAGTTTATATAAAAAATGAAAATTTAAATGCTGTAAGAAATGGACATGCATTTTTAAATATACATTTCACATAAGAGTTGGAAACATTGTGCGGGTGTCTATCTTTAGATATCTATATGTGTGTTTGGACAGAAATAATATCTAGAGAGTTGCACCATGACAATATGGTCGACATTTAATGTCGAAATCGGTATTTTCTTTGAATCTATATTTATTTAGTTCAATGGTAGGCATATACATTTAATTTACATACGTCTATATGCATTTACTCGACAAGTTGCATCTTTAGTTGGCATCTTATGCTTCTGCAATGAATGCAGATTTAACTCTTAGGTTCGCTTTGAGTGCAATAAATAGAAAGATATATATCTCTCTATATATATGCAGTTGTGGACAGGATTAAACAGCCCGCATCAATAGATACAATTAAAGCCTGTAATATCTGATATTCATGGAAAGTTCATGTGCATTTTGTCACAAATGATAACAATGAAATTGTAGAATGTGCAATGATGCCCTCAATAATTTGTTTTCGTTTTAATGACAAACAATAATACAAAAAATCACCAAAAGACTATTTAACATAGGAGAAAATTATTGGCCCTTTTGCCTTAATAATCAATTGTTAACCTTTTTTCTTTGATTATTGCATTTAATCATTTTTGGCAGTTCCTTACAAGATTACTATAAACAATTATTCCTTGGTAAAAGCTAATAGTTACTCCAAATTCGAAGGCCTACTTTCTCTTACTTTTTCTACAATTATGCCCTTAAAATTTCATTGGAGTCAGTATTTGTGCGGGGTACGCCAATACCTTAATTTTGCTGTCATCTAAATATGTCGTAACAATTCGTGAGGTGTGTTTCAGGTTTTCGTCATGTTGAAACATCCAGTGACGCCCCAAGGACAGATATCGTTCACATTGTTGTATATTATTTCTACGAATAGCCAAATAATGCTCTTTATTCATCAGGCCCTTTACTCTCACTAATTCTAGTACAGAAGAAAAAAACACTTCCACCACAGTGCTTAATTGTAGGGAGGGTATATTTTTGATTTGGCGCTTCGTATATCCTCTCTCATGCATAGCGGGAGTACATGTGACAAAATAACTTTAATTTTGTTTCATCTGGCCATAAAAAAGTGTTCCAATATTTACTCCCTTGTTCTAGGTGTCTCCTAGCATAATATAATCTGTATTTTAGGTGTTTCGCCTAAGGTGACAAGCTCAACGTCTTGTTCGTTGAAAACATCTAATGACAGTATTCGTCAATATATTCATTCTTTATATCTTTAGGTGATTGGCAATATCCTTTGTTGTTATAGAGGATTTTTCGAGACATATCAAACAATTTTCCTTTCCATTCTCTCAGAAATTAACCGTTTTCCGCCAGTCTTTGATTTATTCTCAAAATAATAAGTCTTTTTGATAATGCTACGAATTTCTTTGTTATGTAGGAACAATTAATCAATTAGAAAGTATGGTAAATCCATCACCTTCTTTGTACGCATCGACTATCATCATTCAGGGATTTTTGTCAAGTTCAGTCGTCGTCGTCATGGTTGCAGAACTAGTGAGTTATCGCGGTACGTGACACTCACATAGTGTCTTCTTCATCACCTTTTAGAATGTTATATATTCAGGTCAATATTATTTCATTTTCAATGTGTGTTTGTATTAAATATGAAATTAAGTAAAAAAACATAGTACAGTATATCGTTTCCGAATTTCTGGCAGAATGAATTGCGTCATGGTGCTCTTTTTCTCACAGACTGACCAACTGACTCTACCATACTGTACTATCGACAAGATAAAAAAAAATGGCATATGCTCGACATTCAAAATATAAAATGTCAAAATTTACACCCTGTAAAAATATGTGTGTATTAACGTATGTGTGTGAGTGTGGGTGTGTTTTGGTGTATATATCATTTTACTGTTGGAATTTTTATATACAATCGTACGTTCTAGTTATAGTGATTTCTCTGGCATTTCTCGCCTGCGGGATTCTCTTCTAGTCCCTAGCTTTCCTACAATCTACAACAATTAAAAGCAATGTCAATCATCATCAATGAATCCTTTTTTTAATTCTCCTTTATACGCAGTCTCTATCATCCTATTTTATTCCCTCCTTGTTAAGCACTTACGAGCTTACCTAAAATTTTTCACATTATTAAAGCTTCGTCAGACTTCCTAACAGAAAGCATAAACATACTAAAAGAAAAGAGATATAGATTAATAGTATATTGTGTTTAGATTAATTCATATATGTTGGATAAGTGCCACGTGTAATACATAACGATAGTGCACTGTAGAAATTTGATAAACTCCGGTATTTGAATTGGGTTCTTTTATTTTTCATCGATTATATATATATATATATATATATATATATATATATATATATATATATATATATATATATATATATAAAGGAAAAGGTTGTAGTGGTTCCAACGAGAGAAAAGTATGTATAAAAAGAAAGAGAAGTGCCGCAAAAAGTTTTTTGGTTGTAATGTGGATTCATCTAGGTAAAAGTCGAGAATATTTAACATTGAAAACAAAAGAAAAAAAATTAATTATTTTTAATAATATGTTGAAATCTCCACTTTTACCTGAAGACGGTCACGAGACCAGAAACACGTGTAGTACAATTATGGAAAACAAAGCATAATTTTCTAAATAAATCCACATTACAACCGAAAACGTTTTGGCACCTCTCTTCTCTTCTTAATATATATATATATATATATATATATATATATATATATATATACATAATATGATATAATATGATATAAAAGGTTCAAACCCTAATAGTCCATGGTTATAATTTATTACATTGGAATCATAATCACGATCCAAATCATCAGATCATGAGGCCTTCTTGTTCTTTCTTCCGTTACACCCCCTCTCTAGTGCTTTCATACATTTCCATCTCAGTATTGTTCCCCACACCCACACATACAGTAACTAAAATTTTGTATTTTATAGCCGGTGATATATATACCGATTTCTTTTTGAATTTGTATTTCTGATGAATTGGTTCGTCTTTATGATTCCAGTGTAATATGTTATAACTATGGAATATTAGTGTTTGAGCCTTTTATATTATATTCTGACTCTCACCTAGGCATTGGAGTTCTACCTCGATTCAATCCTCTTAGGAATTTATATATATATATATATATATATATATATATATATATATATATATATACACCTGTAGCCAGACAAACCTACCTAGGGTTTAAACGGATCGTCAGGGAAACTTTCCCTGACGATCCGTTTAGGTGAAACCTAGGTAGGTTTGTCTGGCTCACTAGGTGTATCTAGGTCTGCTCTACGGTTGTATTGAGCTCTTTTGTTAGTTAGTTGTTACTCGTATCAGGGTTTTTTCTTTGGGCTTCAGACCTGCATCAGTGCGATTTTTTGTCGGCAGAAGTTCATGTTTGTAGCTCTTTCTTTTTTAAACCTTTTTTTCCTCGAGATAGATTTGATTAGCAAATCAAAAATTCGAGGGTTTTTCGAAACGAGTCTAGTTATCTATCTATATATATATATATATATATATATATATATATATATATATATATATATATATATTGATTTATAATATTATCAATATATATATGTGTGTGTGTGTGTGTGTGTGTTAATGAAAAGTGTGTATATATTAATATAAATATATGTATATATGTGTATAATATATTATATAGCATTATTAAATATTGTATGCGCGATATTTATTAGAAAGCGCTCAATATCAGAGATAGTGATTTTCTAAGCGCTCCTTAGATGTGGCACAAGGCCGGAAGTATGGAGCACCCAGTGAGGCTCGAACTCAATATCAGAGATAGATCTAACATATTTGGTTTGATTGATGCAAATTTGTGACCCTGGGTTTCACGCTTTTGCGATCATCAGAAAAAAAACGTGAAACCCAGGTTCAGAAACTCACATCAATCCAACCAAATATGCTAGCTCTATCTCTGTTATTGAGCACTATATATATATATATATATATATATATATATATATATGCGATTGCACAACACATTTTGGAGAAGTAGCAATCCTCTTCCAAAATTACAAACAACTCATTCTCTATTTTGCATAAGCCTCGTCCCCAACACTATTTGCAAGTTTTGGAAGCTGTATTTATTAAATTACAGCAACCTTCGTTATGTAAGCAGAAGGAGAATTTTCTTGGGTCACTTCATTTATTTGGACGATCGTGATGATTAATTTCTTTCATATTTTATACACACTTTGGAATATTTACAACTTTGAAGTTTACGTACATTTTAATCGTTAATTTACATGTTTTAGACACACTCCAAATCTTCATCCTTATTACTTACCTGTTCATACAAATTTTGATACAAGATAGATAGATAGATAGATAGATAGATAGATAGATAGATAGATATAATTGTAGCCCAATAATGACAAAGCTAGTGACAACTGAATTGCTATTGGCCGTGAATATGCGGGTGAATGATGCGTTTGAACAATCAATCTAGAAAGAAGTACATACACACAGAGTCTCAGACGCACACACACACACACATATATATATATATATATATATATATATATATATATATATATAATGAGAGAGAGAGAGAATGAGATAGAGAGGGATAATAGAGACGGGATGAGAGAACAAGAGAAAGAGTTATGTGTATGAAGAATTAATTTCTAAAACCATTAATCAATATAGAATTGCAGTAACCAATAGGACAACCGACAATTGATAGAAAGCACCAAAAGTATAATAAAAATATAAAACTATAAAACCAAAGCTATCAATCTTTCTAGTTCGTGAATATGTTCATGAAGGAAAAATCCGATGTAATAAAAATGATTTTCTGTATCCGTTTCTTTTAGTTCATTTCAAATAGTCTGACTTTATTTAAAAACATATTTGGACTTTAAACAAATATTTTTTCATACAATTACCTTCTCTTTTCTTTTTCTATTTAAATCCTGTTGCGAATTCAAGCAATAAACTTCACTGATTTCTTTGTTTGATTTGCTGGTGCCACAAAGTCTTACGTTCCTACACTGGCAGTTTGGTTTTCTTAAAAAAACAATTTATCTTCTTCTGTTTGTATTTGGATAATGATGTGTTGTATTAATATTCTGCTTTAATATTTCTCTTCATATTTAAAATTGTTTTTCTTTTTAAGATTAATGCAATATATCCAATTGTTTTATAATACACTATATATATATATATATATATATATATATATATATATATATATATTTGAAAAATATACTCTTGCATCGTGTAAACACAAAATATACATACACACACACATATATATATATATATATATATATATATATGCATATATATATATTTATGCATATATAGATAAATCGATGAATAGAAAAAAGAGAGAGAGAGAGAAAGAGAGAGAGAGAAAGAGAGAGAGAGAGAAAGAGAGAGGTCGGTTGACCAATCATAGAGTGTTCATATATGATATGTTTTGTATTATATGTGTACGATGCTACCTTAATAAATCTATATATGTAACGATGACAAATGTACAAAATTTGCGCAGTATGTATTTATTTTTCATCATATTCATCTTTCTTGGCAATGCACTTGATGCATTGCTGAGTATTAATAACATAGAGAAAACATTATATAACATTATCTGATCAGGTTTCAGCTAATAAAACGCTAGCAGGTGAAGTACACACACACACTTATATATACATATGTGTGTGTGTATTTATATACATACACACATATATATATGTGTGTATATATTTACCACACACACACACACATATATATATATATATATATATATATGTGTGATGTGTGTGTATATATCGAACGAGGCAAAAAACTGTACGTACCCATAGAAAGCCGATTTTTGTATTTTCACAAAGACAAGTTAGTAATAGAATTCCATTATTAATACAGTATATTAATATTGGTGTACATTATACAAGTCAAAAAATGATTGTTATTTTTGTGTAATCTTTTGCTTTAATAACGGCATTAATCCTTCATTGCATGTTACAGACTAAATTCCTTAGTAAGTCAACGTCCTTCGTCAGATTTTTTCCAGCATTCCTTTAATTCGCGAAAACGCTGATTTTATGTGTTAACTTAAGTATTACGGGAACGCTTGTCTGTCATCACCCAGAGGTTTTCATTTGGATTAAGATCAGGACTCTGACTAGGCCACTGGAAGAGTTGCAATTTAGCCTTGTCCAGCTTCGTCTCTAGATAACGTTTATTCTTTAAACCTGTATATTTAGGATCGTTATCGTGTTGGAACGTGAAGCGTGTACGCTGGGCAACAATATTTTAGCAGAAAGCCAAATTTAATCAACAAAAATGTTGTGGCATATGTACACCTGTATTAATACCTTATATTAATAAACTATTTCTATTACTCACTTGTCTTGGTATAAAAACAAATATCGACTTTCTCTGCGTTTGTCCATTTTTCCCCCTATTGTATATATATATATATATATATATATATATATATATATATATATATATATATATATATGTACAATTGTGTATATTGTTACACGTGTGTCTATGTGTGTATTTGCACATGAAAATAAACGTATGTATATATGGATTTGCATGAATATGTTTGTGAGATACATATACCAAATATTATTAAATAATGAAACCTAAACCTTAAGTTTACCCATATAATAATAAAGAAAAATTGCATTCATAAATTACATTAAAAGTAAAACTAATATAGATGTTATTGTTACCGAAATTTTTTTACAATATTATGGAAGTACAATTGGTCGGGTAAGTAAACTATTATAATTTTAAATATTTCTTTAATATGTTCTCGATAAATGTGCTAATAAAAATAATAGTTAACTTATATTAAGTCCCTAAACTATTTACTTAAAAAATTAAATGTTTAAATTGATAACATTCATCATTTTTTAGACATCTAAATTTCTATCAAGCATTGGAATCTATCTTTTACATAATTTTGTTAAAACAAAATTACAGCCTCTTTCGATTCACTTCCCTCTACCCCTCTCTCTTTGCCGTAACACTCATTTAGATATATCTGTATTACTGTCGTCTGTCTCCTCTCTCTTTTCCATTTTTCCTTTTCTTTTCTCCCCACTCCCCTCCCATTCCTATATATCATTTCCGTTAAGTTAACCATCTAAATAGGTCAAGGTTCGGTCACTTCTCCTACCTCAATATAAAGCATGCTTAAGAGATATGAAATTAACCCCTCCCTATACTCTACCTTGTCTCTTTAACTACAACTCTCACCCCCTGTTAAATTACAAAAAAAATTACACTACCCATCAATTTCTAATCCCATTTTTCTTTCATTTCAGTGTTGTAATTGTTACCTGATGATCCGGAGTCCTTTAAAAAGGATTTTGGTGAAACAAATTATTGTAATGGTACCTTAAAGTGGTCTGGTTTTCATTAATTATATATATATATTATTTTATCAATATATATTATTTTTATATAAATATATATATATATATATATATATATATATATATATATATATATGTATAAAATAATAAAATATTAAATTAATAAATCGCTATGTTTATGTGCAGCCGCGTTCCTCATGGGCATTATATATGACGTCACTCGAGGCCATTTCATATACCCAGCTTGCCAAAGAATATCAGGATGACGAGCAAGGAGTTCTAACTACAACACAGATACCACATCAGTTCTTAATAATGACTTCTAAAGTCGAATGTACTTAAACAAAAATAGAAAAATATGGACCTCGGGCAGTTTATCCAAAACTTCGAAAACAATACTCAACACTATCAGAAAATCGGAAAAATTAAAGAATAAGTCATTTTTTATTGTATTTTTTCAATTACCTACAATTGCATCTCTCTCTTTTCTCTCTCTCTTTCTCTCTCTCTTTCTCTCTCTCTCTCTCTATATATATATATATATATATATATATACATATATATATATATATATATATATATATATATATATATATATATATATATATATATATATATAGGAATAATGACATAGTGAGAAAATTAATTTCACACATATCGTCCTTTAAGGTTTCCTCGAACTAAAGTGATGTGTCGGTATATAAAACTTACATTTTCTATATATATATATATATATATATATATATATATATATATATATATATAAAATCGAAAGTGAGACAGATATACGGACAGACAGAGAGATGTTTTATTCCAGAAATAGCTCTGTGAAAGTGCATACATTGTAAGTCTATACTGATCATGAGGTGATATTTGCAAAGCTCGATACTTTTCTAGAACTCCGTTTCCGGAAGTATTTTCAATAATTATATCACGTGACGTAATGTTAGAAATGACAGTAAACTTCTATTCTATCAGTATATTCTTCACTTTTGTAAATAGCAGGAAATCGCTGAGTGATACCTATTCAGATGCAAAAGGTCGATGGCACATTTTTCTAATGGATTTCTCGGCGAAACTCTTAACACATCATGCACAAGTGCATTTTCATGGTGAAGAAGTCTAGTCAGAGGTCAGATGTTTTTCAAGGATCAGATTGTCATAACTTCTTCAGCGCTTCCAAATAAATATTTGCATCTGCTTATTTTCTTTTTTTACTTAATCACTTCTTGCATAAGCATCCTTTCTTGAACCGCGTGTGTCACGGAAAAAAACCCAAAACAAAACAGAAAAAAAACAGTCGATTTTTTGAAAGCTTATTTCCCCTCGGCTTTAATCCACTAACAACTTCTACAAATTAATCTCAAAGGAAGCATCTCAAAATATGTTTTTTTCGCACTAATCCAGACCCCACTGCACGTTCTACTGTTCAGATATCATGTGAGTATTTACTGCAAAAATTATACGTAGGCCTACAGGCTAGTACACAATCCGTGAACATCTGATACCTTAATCACTGGTGTCTTCTTCCACTACATTATTCTTCTATGTACCAAGCCCCTTCATCCAATGAATGTTCATAGCTCTCCTCAACTTCCTAAACTTCTTAGATCTTAGCAACGTTTTTCTTTTTTACTATCACGCCTCATCTCTCTTCTTCAATCCATTTACACAAGACAGCGGAACGTTATTCGGTATTTCTCGTTTACCATCAAAATATCATGTGTGTGTCAAACTTTTCAAGCCCGCTTTTCTCATTTAATTTCCTTGAAATTTAAACGCTCTCTTTCCGATTTTAAGTATAAGTGTCATTTTCTTTCCATTTCCTTTAAAAAATCCTAGTTACTTACCTACTCCGTCAATGATATTCTCGTCATTTTATATAAGCCCGTCTCTATTGCCTGAAGTCACCTCTTCATCTGTTTAATTTGGTTTGTTATAGACGGGGAATATACATTCGCGCTCGAGAAAGAGAAAGAGAGAGAATGGGAGGGAGAGAGAGTAAAAAAAATAAGGGAGAGAGAGTGAGAGAGAGTGTGAGAGAGAGAAAGAGAGTGCGAGAAAGAAAGAGAGAGTGAGTGAGTGAGAGAGAGAGTGGAGAAAGAAAGAGAGACGGAAAGAGAGAGTGAGAGAAAGAAAGACAGAGAGAGAGAGTGAGAGAAAGAAAGACAGAGAGAGTGAGTGAGAGAGAGTGAAAAGATAGTGTGTGTGAGAGAGTGAGAGAGAAAGAGAACGCGAGAGCGAGGGAGATAAAGAGATAGTGGGAGAGAGAGAAAGAGAGAGAATGAAAAAGTGAGTGAGTGAGTGGGTGAGAAAGAAAGAAAGAAAGTGAAAGAGAGAGTAAGTGAGTGACAGAGAATGAAAGAGTGAGAGAGAGAAAGAGAGAGAATGAGTGAGTGAGAGGGAGAGAGAGTGAAATAGAGAGAGAGTGAGAGAGAGAGGGAGAAGGGAGAGTGAGTGAGAGAGATATTGATAGAGTTAGAGGGAGTGTATGAGATTGACAACTTTGATATATGTATATGATATTCTCTACATCGTATGTTATCAAGCTTCCCTAAAAGACGGGTTTTTTAGAATATGAAGCATTATTTTTTTGGCTAGTATGTACCTTATTTCTTAAATTTTCTTGGTTATGCAAGTAATTCAATAATTCACTGGAACTAACTTAGCATAATCGTCAACAGAAACGGAGCCATAATTTTACTGAATAAAAACTCTCGCCTATGCCCTTTATATCATTTCACCTGTGTTTTTATCTCAACCCTGTCTGCGGAAGATTTCCATGAATGAATCAAATTCATGCCGAGCGACCAGTTCCAGTCGATATCGTTGGACATTCAAACTTACTCTTGGATTGTCAGTTTCCACGCACTTAATTCCCCGAAATTTACACGCTTATCATTATAAATACCAGTATGTGTGGGTGGGTGTATCACACTGGGTAACATGAAAACACCACAGCCCATAAGTTAATGAAGTTTAACTGGCATAATTGCGAGCAGATTCTAAAATTATACCGCTCAGTGTTAAAATGATAAAAAAGAAAGAACAGATAATTAGTAGAAAATAAGAGTTCAAAGAATTTATATGGGTTATTGGATATATATATATATATATATATATATATATATATATATATATATATATATATATATATATAGGTGGATTGATAAGAGTTTGTGAGCCTAGGGTTTCACGCTTTTGCGACCGCAAAGGCCTGAAACCCAGGGTCACAAAACTCACATCAATCCAACTAAATATGTTAGCTGTATCACTGATATTGAGCGCTTTCAAATAAGTACCCGCATATATAATATATAAATAATATATGTATAATAAATCCATATATATATATATATATATATATATATATATATATATATATATATATATAAACAAGCTACCTCAATACATTATTATTTTGTGTAAGCTACCCTCGACAGATGGCTTTCCAATCACTACGAACTTGTGGTCTTCAAGTCTATATTCGGCCGTTATCTATCCTAAATATCCTCATAATTCCTCCTGCTTACTTTCCCTTTGAGACTCATTCAGAAACCCGTTACATTGAGCATGTGTTTGGCACTATATATATATATATATATATATATATATATATATATATATATTATATGCAAAATAACTATATTGCTGTAACAAAAAGACAACTTGTCAGGATATTTAATACATTAGAAAAGAAAAGTAATTTCGAACAAGGAAAGAAAAAAAATATTCAGAATACCAACGACAAGTGATCAACGCCTATCTGGGCAAATAAAAAAAAAACGCCCCCCTCCGTCAACACTCAACGAATAACTCGCATCGCTTCTTAAGTTTCATGCTGTCGCGATCATCGGAAGTTTAACAAAGATAGTGAATGTCTGAGAATCGGATGTCAAAATCACATCAGCTTAAAGAGAGAGAAATAGTGCAATACCATTTAGAACAGCGTATATAGAAATAACAAAAACGATGGAAATTATAAACAACGATGGCATTCAATACGCATGCGCGAAAAAAAAGGAGAAATATGAACAGTCTATTAGTATGACTACCTAACGTTTGGAGGGCTAGTCTACGAAACTCGGAATGCAGAAGGTAACGCCAATCATCTAGGTAACAATCTTTATTTTTGTATAGATTATATATATATATATATATATATATATATATAGCTGGTCTAGAAGAAGGACCACTCTAAATTCAAAACCTGCGGAGGGTCGTTTGGTGACCTTGTGGCACGTAGTGCACCGGGTATCTGTATTCGGCCCTTCAAATAGTGTGGATGGTCCCTCACGAATCCTTCACTATTATTAACAAATCTCATGGGCTGTTGTCGGGCTTTCGGTTTCCTAGGAACTGATCTGCTTAACCCTCATACGACAAATTCGACAGGAGTGTTGAGAATATATATATATATATATATATATATATATATATATATATATATATATATATATATACATATATATATATATATATATATATATATATATATATATATATATATATATATATATATATATATATAGTGTTTTTGGTCTTTTGTGCAATTCTCGAGCCGGCCTCAAAACTTATGCAGGAATAAACCACCATCAAGAAGTAAGCATAATTCGACTGCGTGAAACAGGAAAGCGAATATAAAACAGCTAACAGTGTCCCTGCTGCACTTGCATGCGATACTTTCTCCTGTAATGTTTGTGGCCTTTTGTGCAATTCTCGAGCCGGCCTCAACGTCATATTCCGCATAAGCCTGCATATAACTAGTAGTCGTCGGGACCTCATACGTCAAACTCGACGGGAGAGTCTATCAAAAGTCCATTATATATATATATATATATATATATATATATATATATATATATATATATATATATATATATATGACAAAATTGCAAAGCTTTTTCGTGTGACGCATTTTTCCCTTCGGACTTCATTGGTTCGTTTACGTCCGACGATGTCCTAATGGACGAAACGCCTGACATGAAAACTTTTTCCTCATTTGCATAAATCGTCTTAATTTGTTCTTATTATATAAAAATTTATATATCATTGCCCCATATATATATATACATATATATGGCTGTGTTTGTGTTTTTTGTGCATGTAGCGAGAGAGAGAGACATTGGAAGAGAGAGAGAGAGAGCATAACAGAGGCAGGTATTTGAATTTTTAAAATTTAATAATCATCGAAATGATTTGGAAGGACATCTTGCTTGTTAACCACAGTGCAGTTGAGTGAGGACGGCTAAATCATGTATTAAAGCCATTTATCTATGGTGTAGACGATATTTAAAGACTTTTATTTTCCCATATTTATATGTGTAGATTGATTCATATGAAAAATTAACATTGACAGACAGACATTATAGATAGATAGATAGATAGATAGATAGATAGATAGATAGATAGATAGATAGATAGATAGTATCAGACAGAGAAGTATAAATAAATAGATATAAATAAAGGAAAGACAGGGGTAGATAGATAGATAGATAGATAGATAGATAGATAGATAGATAGATAGATAGATGTAATGATATTGAATGTGATTCTACCACCTTACAATAGATTGGATTGTCCATCAATTATATCGCAAAATAATATGAGCCCGTATATTTAAATTACAAAGAGGACAAGATAACGAATATCATATTAGCTTCTTTCATTCTGTAATCGAAACTTGAGTGAGTGTGTACTTTAGCATTTATATTCATGTCTATCACGGGATTCTTAATCGGACTGTCGTTGAACAAACAGCCTTAGGAGAAGAAAATCAGCTCTTGGAGTAACTTGACTTTTAATTATTAGCCAACTCAACACTTGATATCACCAAATCGACTTTCTTTAATAGAAAAATAATGAGGTACTAAGTCAAATACACGAACAATGACCAATTTTCTATTTTTTATTGGAATTTTTTCCTTGATATAAATAGGATATTTTTAATATGTTCACCCCCCTCTCATCTCTTTCTCTTCAAAAACGTTTTATATTTCTTTAGTTTTTTTTTCCTCTCTTCATCTCCTTGAGACAGAGAGTTTATTCCTTCTTAATTTATTTCCGCTGAGTAAGTACGTGAACGCATTTTTTCTTGTAATTATTTGCGATGACCGACGACTGCGTTTAGTATACATTACTTGATCGACAATCACATACGAGAAAAATATGTATACGTCTCGTATGTCTTTTCAGCTATATCGTTTCCACACGCAATAATATATACATCTTTTCATTGCCAAATGAATACGCTTTCGCACAAGTATGTAAAAGTAATTCTAGTCAAAGTCACAAGGTATTTGGACGACGTGTCAACATAGTACAGTTGCTTTCTGCTACGCATTACGAGCTTTAATTCAATACTTGTTTATTTGAATTATTATTTAGAAGAAGAATGTATCAAATTATGTAAATGATTGTCAAGTCAGTGTAGACTTTGAGGCAGTTTAATTTGCAAAGACACTAGAGAGAAGTTATTTACTCAGCCCCTCACGAGGTCAGGTTGTGACACAAAGTCGGTTTAATGTGGGGAGCCCGAGTTGCGCTGGCCTCGGTGCGAGCACCGATCCCTCCCTCTGGTGCAATGGGAGGGCGCAGCGTCGGGCAGCTTTTCCCCAGGGCTGGGCACCTCTTCAGTATTATTTTCTCAGTTGCCCTTCTGTCCTTTGACAGAGAAGCCCCTGAGCGCATCTGTCCAAGGACAGAGACGCAACTAAGAAATGATAAGTAGATATGTACCTTCTCAAAAAGAGTAAGGTGCACACGTTAGTGATTTTCCAAGCGTAGCTTAGATGTGGCACAAAGTAAGGGGCACTCAGTGAGGATCGAACTCACTAATCAGCTGTAATTGTTCTTGCGAGATAAGCTTTCTAACTATTACACCGCCTCGAGGTGCCCAAAGACATTAGAGAGAATAACACCCTAAATATCACGGGTTATCCTGAGATGTTAAATGTAGAATCACATGTGTTCTGCGTGTGGCTAAATCGGAATAAATAGCGTTACGCTAATTGTTACGAGATGTTTGAACTTATTAATATATTTTACATTTTATCTTTTGCCATTATTTACTTATTATATGAAATCAGAGAATTGCATTCATTGAGAACGCTTATATCAAAATCGTTTACCTTGTGTTTAGTTTGTTTTCATTTTCTGTCTGCATTTGTATCGGCTACATGTGCAGTTAGCGTTGCAATCACAATTTGTTCGTATCTTTTCCGTACGCATATTCTATAAAAACGGTCAACCTTAATACAGAGATGAACACAAAGGAATCCGGAGATAAATTCTGCAAACATGCCAAAGAAAATAGCTCTTTTACGTTAGTTTCCTAACTGGATCCAGAGATGTCGCTGAAACAGATTAAAAAAAAATGTAGGCAGACCAAGATCTTGTCAGGGATCTCCATTTAATGGGAACATATTGCAAACATTTGAAAATAGATTCACTCGAATACGACAAAAAATCCTACAAATAACGCTGTTTTATATAGAAAGTTCATGTTAGAGAAACAACTATTTCTACCCACATTTATAAACTGGACTAGCATTGGAGAAAACTAAACCTTGGCCACAAGTGTCAAACTAGAGTAGCAAGGCACATGCCAGAGGATATCCTCAGACGAGACTCTGAGAAAGGGCAGAGTCTCGTCTCGGGAAACTGACTCCGTTTTTACGTGGTCTATAGGGATTTTTGCCCGAGCCTACGGACTCGGATACCCCACTTTAAAACTCGGCTTTGTGCCATATCTTGCTGCGTGGTGCAGCCGGTAAATAATAATTACTAGCAAGCCGACACAGTATTCCCCAGAATTATAACGCTGGAATTGGCTCGCTATAAACCGGCGATCACAGAAGACACTCAGGTCGGCCGTAGTTGGATGATTGTCTTTCCAATTGTGTCGTTTTTGTAATGGTTTTTCCTCTCTTGAAGGCTTTGTTCAATCAAAGGAGGATCTCCATGAAAATGATCAAATTAGCATTGGCATTATTAAAGACGTTCAAGAACACTGACTAATTAGATGCATGCTGTGTGGTTAATTTGCTGCTTGGTTTTTAGCTGACTATTGGTGTGAAAGGACGAAATATTCATAGCAATTTCTATTAGATGTGTAGAACTGTGACCGATTTTGTAAGGGTTTTTATAACCATTTCAGTTGGGAGAATTATCAGTTCATGTCGATTATATTAGATGCCAAAAGATTAAAATTGCAATTCAATGTGTAGATTCTTCTCGAATTGCTCCCTCTGGTGAAGTTCAAAACCGTTTGAGTACTCACAGATGGTCTAACAATGTTGCAATCATGACAACTTTGCACAGTGTAGCCACATATTGAGGAACTCGTGTCAAGATCTCAGTCTATTATGATGTGTTTTTTTTTATTTATTTGCGTTGTCTTTTCAGTACGTGGGCAATAATAACTGCCTACAAATTCCCTCCTGTGTAGCTCTTAGAAATATCTCTTCTGTTTACTATACCCCTCATTCTCTGTTCTCTTATTCATTTACAAACGCTCGTTTTCTAGGTTAGAGCTGCAAGTTTCATTTAGTCCTACTTGTCTTAATCGCATGTCCTGTGAATGTTAAAATATCCAAGCCTTCATTATGCGCCTCAGAAATTGCAACTGTGTCTTTTTTTGTTTCCATTTTCCTTAAAACTTCTTGCTGATCGCATGTTTTATTAAAGCCTTTCTTCTGTAGAACTGCAACTCATTTCCCTCAAAACTCATCTTGGGCGGCATTTAAGCAAGATCCTGCAGAGGATACTTGATTGAGCCTTCCTCAAAGTAGGCAGCGAGTAGCTGCGATAGGCAACAATAAACTAGAGAACTCAAAATTGCATTAATATATAAGCTTACATTTTAAAAGTTCAACTATATTTTTTTTTGTCGCCACTTAATTTAAAGACAATTTGATGTATATTGATCCTTACTTTTCGTACAATTTTTTCCTGTGTGGATTTCGCAATTAATTTCGATTATTCCCAAATTTAATTCCAAGTTATAAAAATTGTCCTGTACAAAAAGATTCGTCGTCAAAATCACGAAAAAAGTAGCCGCAAACAATCGCAGTATTAAAAAAATGTTAATCCAAAATTTCAGAATTGATCATCCAGATCCGACGCGGAAAGTTTTCATTTGCTCACAGAGTCGGCCTGATTCCAAAATGATATGCTATGTTGGGGTTCAGCCTCTAGGAGTAAATTTAAAACAACGGACAATTTTATTTTGAAACACTGAGAGCAGTGATTTTCTTCATTTCAACATGATCTAATGAAAGTTAGAGAGTTATATCCCTTTAATTATTTTTATCAGTTGAAGCGAACATGATGGAATCCGAAAACATTCGCTGTAATGAAAACTTGAGAACCCAATACTTCAAGATTGAGGGTCTGAATGCATTTAAATTCACTGATTTCAAACTGGTATTATATGCTGGGATAGGGTTTCTAGGAGTAAAGTTGCAAAAAGTGTGACAGTAACACACTGACATTCACATTTATTAGGTTTCCTGATACTTATTGCTATGTTTAACTTTTGAAGTCATGTTTGGCTATTCTAAAAACACCTTCAGATTTCGATGTCATATTTTTCGTCTTTTGTTAAAAACCTCCCATATATATAAATATTCTTACTTATATGGTTTCAATTGAGATCCAATTACTTTTTTAACCTTTTTTTCTTGCTGACAATTGCATATTTTCTCTTCTTAAAATGAAGGCTAATCCTTTCTTCTTACTTTCATTTCCAACATGTCCTAGGATATGCAGCAAGTTTAATTCCTCATTCTCTATCACCACTATTTTATCTGAATATCCTCTGTTGTTAAAATTGTGCCCACCTATAATAAATCCTGGTTGAACGTCTAGTTCTCTTAGGTTTTCTCCCCTGTAAAGTTTTAATAAATCCTGTAAGAAGACACGTTTTATTCCCTGCTGTTATGAAGTTTGGTTTGGTGAACATATCTTCCCTTGTAACATTTCAATGCTGAAATTGATTCATATATATATATATATATATATATATATATATATATATATATCCGATGTGATGAAAAAGAAAGTAATATATACATCCCAACGTTCACCTGATTAATTCAAAAAGAGCTGGATACCGATACTAGAGCGATATTTATTTATTTATTATAATTTTATCATATAGAAAAAAAACATTTTACTCACTACAAAGATGCAACTTCGTTTCAGTGCATTTCAACTGCACTTCGACGGGTGAGAATCGAAAATGTTTATGAACGTATTTGCGATCATCAGACAAATATGTTAGCTCTATCACTGACATTGAGCTCTTTCTAATAAGTACCGCGCATAAAAGTTCAATATTGTTTGAGTATATGCAAACATATACCCGGAAGCTGACACCATTTCCAGTATGGCACTTTCTTCTCTGCAAGTGATGCAGTCGCAATATTTGCAATATTCGAAGTCTCATTTACAAGTGGTTCAGAAGTGGGTAGAAATGTATGAGGATGTGGTACAGGTCAAGTGTAAACGCGATAATTTCTCCGGCATGTGTTGAAGCGATTTCTCCATCCTTTGACTCTGAGAACTACAAACTTGAGCGGTTTCTCGGAGTTTGATTTACATCTGATATCACACTATTTAAAATTTTATTTGTGAACACCAACATTACAACTGCTAATGTTAGGTT